ATGGAGAAAGTTGTTCAAAAATATTTAGAATCAAATTAGACTGGTATCTTACGAGTGGTGTAATTTTAGTTCACGGAAAGTTAATCGCGCTGGTGCTCACTTCAGGAAAGATAGCAGAGAACATGAACGGTCTGTAAGCGCTCATAGCGCGACCTTGACCAAATAATACGCAATGAACACGTGATCCTTGCATTAGGAATTGCCAACTTCAACAAGCACGAAGTGACTGGGAAACTGTGAGCAATTGCCCGAACACTTATTCAAAAATAAGATTGATACGATAACATCAAGCATACCTGCGGTTGAGCCAGCTTCCAACAAAGGTGGCACCACAATAGGGACATTTGGGTGGTCTGGAGGTCTGCAAAAAAATTCAATTGATGAAACCAAACGAATGAAACTCTTAGCAATAAGAACTTACGGGTTAAGACTGTAGAGCTCATCGGATGGTCTGACGAGAGGTTGCGTTTCTTCTAGCCTTGGTTCACTTTTAGTAGCGTCATATTGTTGGCTGAGTTCTTGCGTTTGCGAAGAACGCTGACGCATTCGCTCGGCCACGTCTAAATCATTTTGAGTGTCATCGTCGTCGACGGTCTCTGCTCGTGCCATCGCATCCGCCATGCGACGTTCGCGATTTTCTTCAACACGTTGCTTTTTCTCTAATCGAGCCTCATCCGACATAATCCATTCCTTCTTCATACCAACCTGAACAGCTGCAGTTGAAAAATAAAAAAGTCCCACAGCTGAAAAGATCAGATTAACAAGTACGACAGTGGCCGCGTGAAAAAGCGATGGTAAAATATAGAAACGTATTGCGAACATGAACATGTCCACTTACACGAATTCCGCGATTACATATCTAGGGCAGTGGCGTTCAAAACGAACCTATAGCGACTAAGTGACTCTCCAAAAGAAAAGCAAAAAAAAATCATAGAGAACGCCCCAAGTAAGGACCTCACAGCCTCCATGGACGAGTTCTCCGGACCTGCTTGTTTATGTGGCGGCAAGCGATATTGTGCCACCTCTGCCTCACTAATCATTTTCTCGCATCATCCGGTGCTTATGCCAACTAACAGCTGAACTCATGACAGAAAGTAGCCTTCGAGCTTCAGTGGGCCGGATACCTGTGAAGGTGTTAAAACTCCCACTTGTAAGGGCCGCAGCGCCTTCGTAGCTGATTGTAAAGCCTTAAAGTGGAACACTCTTAGAGAATGAGGACCAGACTACAACTTGTACAACGAAGGACGCCTGCGAATTGCTTGAGCGCTGGGACTGTCTTTGAAGGCATAAGGCACGATAATTTGGTAATCGGGAAATAATAATAATAATAATAATAATAATAATAATAATAATAATAATAATAATAATAATAATAATAATAATAATAATAATAATAATAATAATAATAATAATAATAATAATAATAATAATAATAATAATAATAATAATAAGTAACCGGAAATAGGCTGCTAACTTACATCGAAACACTTGGCTAAGCGACAACGTTGACAGAAACGTCGCGAAACGACGTTAATCTCACACTGCTCATTGAATGGACAACGAATTTCTCTTTCCTGAACAATTGCCAATTCTCCAAGGATACGATATGACATTCTACAATAATCACGAGCAAAAAGCATACCTTGTTGGCATTTCGACGAAAAAACGCTTTACATGATTCACAAGTGATCACATTGAAATTATAACTGAATGCTTTGTCCCCACATACGCGGCAGATCTGTACGACTCTGATCAATTTTCTCATTGCAGTGTGAATTTTTAACAGACATCTCATAATCATTCCTCCTGCTATACTTTCTGCTAGTGAAACCTAATAAACTCGTATCACCTTATTTGCCGTGTCTTTTTCTCGCCACCACCACTGGAAGCCGTGTTTGTTCGTTTTCGATTCACAGGTTTCTCGGCGCTTGAGTCAAAACCTGAGTTCGCATCTTCAATTTATAATTTGAATATTCACAAAGTGTCACGTGAAGTGAGGTGTTAGATGCGTGTATACTTATTTCCTCATCCATACTCATTAGGCCGCGTTCATACCGTGCGACGTCTTTTGCGTAAGTTGCGTAAGTTGCGTAAGCTGCGACTAGTTCGTGAAGAATACATACGTATCGATCCGACGAAAGCTGCGAGTTTGCGTGAGCTGCGTAAGTTGCGTAACCGACGACAACTTCTAGAAGAATAGATACGTATCGATCCGACGAAACCGACGGAAGTGACTGTAGGGCCATTTTTTGCATTTTGAGAATACTTCCCCCTTTTCATTTTTTTCTTTCCTTTTCCTATTCCTTTAATCATCTCAATTTATCTTCAATGCATTCTATCCTTGCTGTTTTTCGAGAAAAATAGAAATAGAAATAACTACGGCAATTTCGAGGAAGAAAGTAAGAACAAAAATGAAGAGAGTTCGGCGATTTTGAGAAAGAAAGAAGAAAAGAATAAACCAAGATTATTAGGAACATCTCTGCTCTCACTGTGAACCTCATGTTATCAAGGCACTCGTGGTGCCACGTGGCGCCACGTCTGCACGCAACTTACGCAACTTACGCAGCTTTTTCGTCAAATCGATATGTATCTAGTCTGCGTGAAGTTACGTATAAGATATGTATCTAGTCTGCGTCGGTTACGCAACTTACGCAGCTTTCGTTGGATCGATACGTATGTATTATTCACGAACCAGTCGCAGCTTACGCAACTTACGCAGCTTTCGTCGACGTTGACGACGACGTCGCACGGTATGAACGCGGCCTTATAGAACGCTGTCCACATCGCAAAGCGCTAATTTCCCAAAGTGATCAAAAATCGTTTTCTCTCTATCTACTCCCGATATAAACAGCTCTACTGAGAGGAGCATGGTGAAAAAAATTACCAAATGCGTTAGTGCGTTCCTGATTGAGACAACGGAAAAAAGGTCGCAAAAAAAACAAGCGTGCTCCCGGGGTACACGGTTCGCCGGAAGGGGAGTTTTGCGTGAACTCCCAGCAGTACACGCCGCCTCGAACGGATTAAGCTTTTCGCGGGCAGTGGCTGAAAATGCTGCCGTAGCTGACGCAAAGTGTGAACGCAGCATAATATGCCTTCACAACGAAAGCCACAAGAATCAAAGGTAACAATAAAAGCAATAAGTAAGGTAGTAGCAAATAAATATGATAATTGTCTAACCAGGGGACGTAGATCGACCGGGAGGAGAAATACCAAGGCCAACGGAAGGCGGTGAATGAGGACTGGTGTCGCTTCCGTTCAGATATCTTATTCCCTCCGAGATTCCTGAATAAAAGAATGATTATTGTTAACATTAAAACAACGCACGATAAACACGATCATGACAATTTTATCAGAAGCAGATCATAAATTTTTCTGGCTTTCGAATCTATGGAGGGCTGTGTCAGAACAGACGTGCAGATTAAGGTGCGACTAAGGAGAGGACGCAATAAAGAGATGAGAGCAGTCCTTACTCAAGAAATGAATTGTTACAGTTCTGTTCGCTACGGATCAAGGGGTGTATCGGGCACGTGGGTTCGGGACAGCACCAAATCCTGGTTGTCGGAGCGAGCAAGCGACAAGACTTCATTCGCATCAGTCGTTTCTCACCAGTTTTTGGGGCTTGGCGCCGCGTCAGACCCATCATGCCAGACAAGCTTCTTTATCTGCAGCGAGCAAGATATCAGGACAGCATCAGTATGTTCATTCTGAATCACTATAGTGATTCAGAATGAACATACTGATACTCCCTAATAACTGATTGATCCCTTACATGATCAATCAGTTAAACGCTGACGTTCCATGTCAATCTTGCGTTTCCAGTCACTTAAAGGCAGTTGGCACGATAAATCGCTATACAGGTGTAGGATTTGTACAACTGGCTTAACAGAATTCCGTGACCTCGGACAGGCGCTGCGTGAAGCCTTTTCCAAGGAGGGTACCTCTATAACGCCCTATTGAGCAACAACTTTACGTCCCAAACGCCTTCCTTGCCCGGACGACCGTTTCTGACGCTCGTATTCATTCATTTGCTGAGCAAATTATGAAGCAAAGGGATTGGTATGAAGCGTGCATGCATACATGGGTACACATATGCAGCCGTATCTTCGGTAGCGGTGATTGGCAAGATGCCTACGGGAAACTCGTCCGAAATCGATTTACAAGTCACTGAGAACGGAGGCTTTTTCTTCGCAGGATTTTGACCGTTTCACTCCGTTCTTTCGCCATTTCCCCACTATACAGCGCCCTACTAGCATTTTAGGCTAAGTAGGAAACCATCGTGCCAACTGCCTTTAAGGGCCCTCACATACACTTCATATCTGGGAGATGTCGAGGGCGAGTTCTTCATCTGAACACGACGGTTGCGTTTTCGAATACTGCCTTTTTCAAGCAATTGTACTCATGTTTTTACTACAGGCAGTATTACAGCTGTAATGAAAACATCTTACGCCACGTTCAAACAATGCACACTTCCACGCCCTCCCAATCTCCGAGGTGTGTATTTTCATCGACTATGGAATGCTCAAAAGCACGAACTGATTACTTTTAGAATAATCTAATAAGCAAAGAGTAGGTGAAGGGAAAAGGGAGCAAGCATTAGCCAATGATGTGGTTTTCCGTACTGACAGGAAACTGAAACTTCCAAAGCTGTGTGAGAGAGACAGAGAGAAAAGGATAAAGAAAAGAGAGAAAGAGAAGGAAAGAGCTGTGATAAATTGAGAAATTGAAATTCAAAATTGATGTGATCCCAAAACAGGGGAAAATGGGGTAGATTAAAGGACAAGTAGTGCAGGACACTTAGCTGGTAGAAGAAGACAGCTCAAAGATGTACAGCCTTCCGCTACAGATGAGGTGGCGTGTTAGGCGAGATGGGTTTGGCACCGCGCCAAACATGTTTGCCACTAGTCGCTGAAGCGGGTAAGCGGAGGGCGACTGACAAGAACTACGTAACACAGTTTTGTCACTTGCTCGCTTCAACAACTGGTGAGAAACGGGTTAGGCACCGCCTCAAACCCATCCCGCCCGATAGCCCCTTCATCCACGGCAAACAAGACTATAGTCTGTCGTAGCCTAAGGGCCATAATGACGGCTGGCTAATGCTTCAATCAACCTGCGTAGATTGCAATCGCAGCGCCGTCGTAGAAGTACCCATTACCCAATGGACAGAATTCGATAAAAGCGATCATGGAATGCGATCATGAGGGAACTGACCGAAGCTCATAGTCTAAGTGAGTTCTTCGGTATAACTGCTCTCGTTGGGTGTTGGTATCCGCTCGGATTCGGCCAGCTTTGACGACGTCTTTGCAATGTTCACAAAGCTCAGACAGAATCGATGAGCTGACGTCGAATGAGTAGCAGAACGTAGCAAAGCGTACAGATCCGTTTTAACTGAAAAAAAACCAGTAGTTCGTATGTGAGTGTAGAGCACTGAAAACAAATAAAAGAGTAAAGAGAAAAAGAAGACGAAAAACCATCCGCACGAGCACAGAAAATTGCAACTGCAGTAAAAGAATGGCTTTACACATCATATTACATCCACCAAGAAATCATATATTTACTCTCAACGGTATCACATTTTCACGTAAACTGAAGATGCACCTTGAGCACCTTGAACATGGAAAGAGGGATGTCGCGTTCATACTGAACGCGGTCGTTTTGAGCGTTTCCAGCGACTAACAAAGTATAGGTATCGATCTAGCCTACGCCAATGTCCACCAGTTTCGGTACGCCAGGGTTCTGAGCGATTAGGAAAGTATGGATACCGAATAAGGGTTTGGAGCGTATGCCAGCGTTTCCAGACTGTCGCCTAAACCTACACCCGCAAAAACAGCCGGACGAGTTTTACGGGCGCAAGTCGTCCACTTCGTTGTGGGACCACGCGTCCCTTTAACC